CCAAATCTGCTTGTATCCGCTCTCCTTATTCGCACAGTTGAGATGCAGCATAACAGTAAGCACATCTGTTTTTAACTCATTTTAACAACATATGGACTCTCTCTCTCTCTGACTGTATTATGGCCACATACTCTCCTCTGACTTTCCTGAATGACAATGTCCCTCCTGCCAAAAGCAATACATTTCGTGTTTGCAGATAAACAAGCAGGTAGAAGCTCAGTATCATTACAATGCATCTCATCTAATCCAATTACTTTAGAACCTTATAAAAAAGGTAAAGAATGATGAAAAAGTGATCAAGTGGCGCCACTGTAGAATAAGTGATACAGCTGCAATGCATATTTAAAGACAAGGCTGTATGTTAATGTCTGTGACATTAACATTCCACCTGTTTAGGCTACTGTGGCCTGCAGTGGGGTGCACCATCAGCACTTTGTTGTTGTTTTTATAATATAAATATCATGTGCGGGAATACAATGCTGTAGATGCATCTGTTAAAGTTTATCACTAACTACAGCATAAATAAATAGATATATGAGCTGAGAATATATAATATGAAATAAACCCACAAGATAGTTAGCTTAGCTTAACAACTGGTAATAGCTAGTATGACTGTCTAAAGGTTCAAAAAGATCTGCAATACCAGCACATATAAAGCGTATTTACAGTATTAACACATTATATCAGAATATGGCTAGCTGTTTCCCAATGTTTCCAGTCTTCATGCTATGCTAAGCTAACCATCTCTTGGCTCCAGCAGCATATCTTACAGACAGGAGAGTGGTATCTTTTTCATATCCTTCTTCAACAAAGCCAATGAGGGTATTAACAGAATGTTGAACAATTCCTATAATTGTGAGAAACAAGCAGTACCAACAGCACTGGCTTGAGATTAAGGCTGGCACTCGATTCATTTCTTCATGGTAATTAAAATGTGTCACAATTAATCTGATAATGATGTATTGCTACTCTGCTGCTCTCCTTCCCATAGTACCCTTTAAAAAACACCATAACAAATGACTATATAACACACTGAGAACTGAGTCAAGTCAGTTGTTATTTATCAGATACTGAGTTTCACAAGAATATGTAACCAACTTAATACCGGACTGCCCTTAAACTAAACCTGTTTCTGGGTTTATGTCTGTGTGTGTGTGTGTGTGGTGTGATGTATGTTGGTATGTATAGCGCGCATGCATGTGTGGTATGCTCGCTTGGGTGTAGAACTAAGGAGGCAGAGACAGCCTGAGGTACGTTACAGTACCTTTGAACTTTAAGGCATGAAAAAGGAGGTGGATCGAGGCTATAGGGTCAGAAGTGACGTGAGTCATGTGGGCAGTGAGAGAGAGATTGAGAGAGGAGAAAGAGAGAGAGAGAAAGCAAGAGGAAGAAATGTGCAATGGATTGTGATTCACTTACTGGGCAGCCGTGATGTGAACAGTACAGACAGAGCAACTTTGCACACGCTACTCCCAATAAACCTACTTAAGTGGATTAGCAATGCCACCCTGGGGGCCTCCACAGACTTAAAGCTCTTATCACAAACACACACCGAAACAAAACATACTATTTTTATCAGTTCCTTTGGTTTGTGGGGAAAGTGAGTTTGGGATTTTGCCGAGATGTCCAGTATAAGCATGGAAGCAATGGCCAAAAGGGACATATGATATCTTTCTCATGCTTACACAAATGCTCAACTACTGGGTTTATGCTGCATGCCGTGAAGAGAGTGCCTAGCTTGGCATCGAGGCATGAGTGAGACCTGGTTGCTATTCAGGACACCTGTTGTAGCGGCCCGGAAACAGATGTTGCACATACTTTCCCAGTTTGATGTTGGACACAATTGGCATCTGCTGAAGAGTAAAAAAATGTGCCAAAAATTAGGCCCTGTGCTTTGATTTTTTGTATGTGTATGTATGCTCATCTGTCATGTGCTTATGACTGAGCCCCTGCCTCTCTTTCTATGTTTGTGCTGTGATTCATGTTTGTTATGCAGGTCTAGGCTGGCGGATTACATGGTGAACTGCTGGGTGACTCCGAACACAGTGAGCACCTGTCCCAACCAAGACAATCACCAAGCCTGTTTGGCCTCCTACGCAAGGCTCATCGGTCAGTACAGCCAGGGCTGTGGGTGACACTGTGATGGAGTGAGGGCATGTTTGTGTGTGTGAGAGAGAGAAAAAAAGCTGGAGTGGAATGATGGGAAACGTACATAAATGCACATTTACCACAAAATGCCGCAGTATTTTTCTCTAATTTCAGATGGTGAGATAGAGAGTGATTGTTATAGACAGCACGACATCAGTTTACTTTACCTTCACTTTTATCATGAGGAGCAGGCAGAGGAGTGACACTCTCAGTTTGTTCCCTCCTGGCCTGATATCTCCCCAAGCACACTGGACATCATTTCACTACTAGAAGCAATTAGGGAGTAGAGGCACAGAGAGAGCGTTTACTTAATTAAAACTCTTGATGGCCATCTGTTTGCTCATAGTGAATGTTGCTCAAACAATGTGTACGGACTAGTACATGCATATTTTTCAATCCCTGTCAAAGTTTGATAACAGCACCTTGATGTTGCGGCAGCCTCACAGACTTCCAAATGCAAATTTACATTAAATAACTTTTTTCCTCCATATTGGTTACTGAAGTGTCCATATTTTGGTATCAGTCACTGCTTCCCCATCCCATGTGTCATAAATCGTGCAGTGTGAAGTGGTAATATGCCATGCTGCTTCCTGGATTTCACCCCTGACTCCAGCTGAAAGCACAGACACAGAGAGATATTTGAAAAGTAAAATGTTTTGGTACAGCAGTGCTATATTCAAACAGACACTTCCTAAAGCACCTACTTTGCAAAATATTCATAACATAATGGCCTCTTTACATCTAAAATAAAGCATTACAGAATGCTTCACCTTCCCATAAACTCAAACAGTGCAAACCCATTCCTATGACTAACATCTTGTTGTCCATATTATACACTATTTGCAATAACTGTAGTCCATTATTGTCCATTAGTGACCCTTAACTGTTTGTCCTAATGTATGTATATGTGTGTTTGTGTCTGTGTTTGTGTGTGGATGCCCTCACAGGGACAGACATGACTCCCAACTATGTTGACAGCAGCTTCTCCAACTGGACCGTCTCCCCGTGGTGCACCTGTAAGGGCAGTGGAAATCAAGAAGAGGAATGTATGAACTTCCTGCGCTACTTCACCGATAACACATGCCTAAGTGAGCCACTCTCTTTACTGTACTACTCTGCATGCATCTGAAATGTGTTTTGTAACTGATAGGAAACAGTCATGTAATATTGATAAGACCATAATCGCATGAGGCTGTAGTTACTCTTGCTGCCATGAAAGAGTAAGAGTGAGCCATGAACTTTGATCTAATGCAACTTTAATGGTTTCATTTCAGATTCTGTTTTTCAGTGTCTTAGAGCTTTCCAGTGAGATGACTGTAGATGTGATGTTGTTGTGGAAATAAGGAGGTGGTGTGAGGGGGGAGGGGGGTCTGGATACTCTTCAGACATCCAGGTATTAAAATGTCAAAAGAAAATTAAGTTAATTTAAACCTTAATTTATAAAAATGTAAATTAAAAAAAATCATATAAATCGTTTAGAGGAAATAAAGCTGGAAGGATTAAGTGAAAATATTTATGGATTAATGGAAGGATGGAACTTCTTGAAGTCTTAATGAAAATTTGTCTACTACATAGTTTGATACAATTTATCCATGGACACCCCTCTGCCGCTGATTAACTTGGAATTAAATGCTCTTAGTTTCTCAGAAAGTCATTTCTTATCATTTCTCATCCCTCCTTTGGGCAAGATCTGCCCAGACTTTAATACAAAAGAAACCATTTGCATGTCATTTTCACATTCAATCTGAGAGAGTTAAAGGGCTTATCCCTTACGGGAGAAAAATGTCATGAAAAGGAACAGATCCAGCACAAATGAAATAATAGCAGAAACTAAAATACATATTATCTGTACATCTAATGCATAACACACAGGGCGCAGCATGACAGAGTGGTTACTTCAAACATCCTTGTGCTTTTTCACTGAGAAGTAAAATACAGTGAGCGCCTTCCTTGCTATGGCGGAGCGAGCCGTGTCATCAGCGCTACAAGACACCATTGCCTTTAACATGTTCCATTGTGTGGATAATGCTTTCAGACCATTTCAATAGATTGCTGGGGTACCATTTTAGCTGAGTGTGCAGGATGAGGGATGAGGCTGGGAGCTGAGGAGGCGTCTTGAAAAATAACACAAAATGCAGCATCTCCTCTCTGCAGTCAAGGGGAACAGGCGATAAACTTCGACACACCAGAGAGGAGAATATACACAAAAATACACTCAGTATACAGTACTACACATATACAGAGTATATATATATATATATATATATATATGTATATATCCTTTAGCTCCCAATGACCCTCATCAACCCCGCAATCTCAACCCTATCTTTCCACTTTCACTGTTTAAATCATTTTTTACATTGATTGACAAACCAGAGCACTTTGCAATTGAAAACCAATTGTTACACAAATCATTTATTATCCTCACTCTCCTCCCCACTGTCTTCTCACAAGATCAAGCAACAAAACAGAAGACTAGTATCAATATTTATTAAGTGTGGAGGCCAACAGAAAACATTCCAGCTAAGAGGATCGTATAATTAGTCCAAACATAATCTGAACCCTGATTCCCCTCCTCTTTCTAACTCTTTTTTTCTTGTTCTTGTCTCCCTTATCTCTTACTCCATCTGTCCCTGTAGGTAGGCCAATGCATGCTATGCCCAGGGGTTAAAGGAAAACTTATACGGAGTCATTAAAAAATTGAATTGCTATTGGCAATGAGCTTAATCACTCAGTGGAACATTTGGGTGCAGTAAAACATCCTGCGTGGAGGCCCTCTAGCCAACTAGTTTGATTTATGACTTTATCCCTATATCTTACAGCATCTGTAGGGGGATTGCTTGCTATAACCGACCCTGACAAACGCGATGCGTAACATCACAGCAGTACTTCCCTAGCTCTTAACAGCTAGCATTAAAGTTATTAGACTTCACTGGTGAGCTCTGCTCCTCTCTGTGCTTTTATTTTTTCCTGCAGGAGCCCAAATCACCAGTGTCGAACAGAATAAGAAACATGAAGGCTGCTTTTGTATGTGTTAAGTGTGCAGGTGTATGTGTGTGCCTTTGTGTGTGTTTTGCTATACAGTATGTATAGTTCTGTGAGTGTGTGTGCAACACTGTGTAGGTGGATGTAACAGACAAATCTATGGGGCCATGCATCAGGAGTACTAAGCACTGTGTGTGTGTCCATCCGATGTGTTCCACTACTAACTATCCTATTTGTCCTTTGTGTGGTGGTGGGGAAATGCCATTTCTCTTTTGTTTGGGAATGTTTTGAATTTGATCAGTCACATAAATCTATTCAAAGTCATCTCTGCATGCTGACCTTATAATGGAGGTGGTTGCCAAGCAATTACATGCCTTGCCTTCTCTCTGGCTGAACAAAGAGAAACAAGCCTCGTGTTTTAAACGGATGAGCAGTGAAAAGGTACTCAGCCCCTATTTTACCATATCTAGCTGAAAAGCTGACTGAACAGGGATTTATCACATTTTTGCAGAGGCTCACACATGCACTTAGACACAAAATTACACACATGCATACAGTACATCTGCAGGAAAGCACTCATTTTGAGCTGATTGATTTGCTACTTTTAAAAGATTCCATTTCTGAGTGTACAACTGCTGGCAAACAAATTGGGGTTCATCATCTCAAGTGCTACTATTTGGTCAGCTTGTTGCAATTTGAGAACGGCTGTTGCAACATAAAAGGGTTTTTGTAATGAGCTGAGGACATGAACCAAAGTTGTTTGTATGTGACAAATGTGTCCATTGTGTCTCCACAGGATTCCCTATACAAGGATAATTACTTGCTAAATTGATTGCATAAACATGTTAGGCATTCAAAAGGCACAGCTTAAAATATTAAACACAAGGCTGTATTTGTATTTTGTATTTTGACAGTAAAATCCTCCCCAGTGACAGATTTTACAAACAAACCTGTGATTGCTGTTTTTGATTAGTTTGGCGTACAACTTTCAAGCTTACTGACAAAGCAAAAAGACTAGTTCGCTATACTTTTTTTACTCGATCCTTTCTCAATCCCACTCAGCCTTGCCTCGTTCCCTCGGTTGCTAAAGATTGGGCATGGGACCAAGAAGTTGACTTAGAGCTGTCTGTCTGCTTGCTAGGTCCGTGCTGGGACGGCAGTCAGAAAACAAATGACTTTATATCTCTGTCCCTGCAGGAAATGCCATACAGGCCTTCGGTTATGGGATAGACAACATGCAGAACAAAAATGTGTCTGTCCCAGCTCCCTCAGCAACGGCGAAGATGGGGTCGGAATGGTCAACAGGCACCTCAGAACCTCCCTTTGTCATCATTTCAAAGGTAATAGGTTTTCATGAATTGTTTCATTGCTTGGGATATTACAAATGTTTTGTAATTTATATGTAAAATACGGCAGAGTCATTCTTTACTGCTTGTCAACCAAGTAGGCTTTTTGAATCAAGGGTATTAATCCTTGAGTCTATCATTTCATCTATAGGTCGCCTCATTATGTGAAATTTAAAGAGAATTTTTTTTGTTGTTGTTGCAGTACAAATACATCCATGCATACACAAATCCACACATTTCCAGTAGTTTCCTGCAACTTCTTTACATACATTTGTCAAAATGGACCAATTGCAAAAAGAACCACAAAATACTCCTCCACTCCGTACAATGGAAGGAGGATTTTGTACAGCGACGAAATCATGAAGCTCAAAACACTGCACCATTCACATTCACATCACATTCAATCTCTATGCTCGTTAAAGCAATTGGCACATCAGAACAGACGCTTTATGATAAGACAGTTCATGCTACACCCAAGATGATGACATTTGGTTGAAATATTATATTTCTCTCTCACACAATGAAATAGTGAAAGAAATGGGAGGTGGGGGTTTTAATCTGGATTAGAGGTTCTAAAATACTGGCCCAGGGCCTGTTCTCTGCTGAATGCCGTCTACTCTGAAGACTGCAGTCAACTCAGCTATAACTGAGTTCACCGTCTGGAGCAGAAAAACATCACTCTTCGCTGTGCTGCAAGAATGCACGTGTGTTTGTCTTTTAATAGAACTGTACTTCATTTTCTCTTCAAATAAAATGTGAAAATGACAGAACCATATTGTCCGCCAAAGACTGTCTCTCTCTGTCTCTTTTGAACAGGACAGAAATATTTCACTGCACTTTGGGCCAATGAGAGGGTTTTTTTCTATTCTTTTTTTGTATAGCTGTTGAGTTTGATTAGTTTTCACAATGAAATATTGTGCGGTTTTACAGATGTACTTTAGATGTGCCGTGCAGCCTTCTGGTGTAAGACTAATGATGTTTTTCACCTTTGCAGGAGACCTAGTTACCAATCCCTTCTGTATTAGACACTGTAATATAAAACTGTACGTTGTAAAACCCGCTGCAGCTGTTGCTGCTGCTGCTGTTGATGTGATTGTTAATGTCTGTTTTCAGTGACTATAACAGATATACACAAAATCCAAGCAGCGTGCAGTGTTTATGAATGCAAATTTGCGTGCTGAATGAATGACTCCCATTAGACATCTATTTTGAGTAATTCCAGGAGCTTTCACAGCCATTAAATGGTCACACTGCACCCGAGTCATGCAGTATTGTCCTTTACGCAGAAATCCTCATTGTTGTGAAGACAGCAAATTAAAACCTTAAAAATGGTGCAAAGAAGAGAATTAATGAACAAGCACCAGCGATAACAATAACAGTGTGTATGTTTGGAAAAGGTGCTGGAGAGAGAGAGAAAGAGAGAGAGAGGATGGCGGGAAGGGAATGGATGGTGGAATTGCTCTCTCCAAAGGTTCTGTGTGTGTATGTCAGTATTGATGCACCGCTCTGTGCCTGTCTCACTGCAGTGTGGTGTTTAATTTATTGTAAAAATGGTAATTAGGAAACAATAAGACGTGTGATTACTCAAGCAGGAAGTTTATAATTAGAGAGGGAGCTGGTAGGGACATTTTGGGCGGCCCTGCGTACTCAGACAACTATGCCTGGCAATTAAAACTTGTCAAACTTCCCTGGCAGATAAATTGGGGGAGTGTTGTTATGGTTTGAGTCCTCTTGGCAGAAGACTGACTGTCCAAGGCTGTAAATCTTACAATAGCCAGCACAGGCCCCATAGTACCACACACACGTGCATGTACACATGTGTACAAACAGTCTGGGTAACAGAATGCACTAGGTTTGTGATGGATCGATGGTGACAAACTGCGACACCAAAGAATAACCTATAATATGAAGCACGGTTAGAGAAGAGTGAGTATATGAGAATCTGTGGTCTGTGACTAAGCCTGTTCATGTCAGTCATGCTGCTCTCTTATAGTGTACAGTGTATTTTCAGCTAATTTAGATTCATAATTATTCAAAATGTCACAGCCAGTGGTCGTGGGCTTTATCCCATGCTCAGTGAGTAAACATGTGGGCTGAAGCATGGTCCTGTGTGTCTTGTAAGTCAGGGGGGTTGCCATCACAAGTTGCTTTGTTTACATAGATAAAAACAATAATTTCCCCATATATTAACATGATTCTGTAAAATTTGATGAGGGAAATTATAAGGCCCAAGTGTTATCTTTGCTATATTCCCAGGGTTTGTGTGGGTCTCACAGATAAGATCGATTCTGTGTGTCAACCTCTGTATGTGCAAACCCCCTCTCCAACCTTGTAGCCTTTGGGAAGCTGGTGTTGTCTGTGTTCTCATGTAACACTGTCCTGTGTTGATTTTCAGCCCAATTGAATAGAATTGATTTAGGACAGAAACTACGTAACTCGGGGTTACTCGATAGATAGCCTCAGGAGAGCAACACAATTGCACTGTAAATTTGACAATAAGCTGATTATTAAAAGAAATCACTCTCTGTCTACATTTGTAGTAACCTGTTCAATGACAAGTGGAATATATTCTTATCAATGGTTTAAATAAATGCTTATGGATGTTTCCCATCCTCTCTCTCTCTCTGTACATGTCTTAAAGCATGAGTAAATGTCAGCGCAACATTGTCTGTATTCCGTCACGGCTCATGCATGTGTTTGTGCTTTTAGCCTTGTGTTTATGTGTGTGCGTACGTTCTCGTGAGCTTGAGTGTATGTGTGGATATTGGCTGTAGCCAGAGATCTGGACTCATGTCAACAGGCTGCTGCCACACATCACTGCCCTTGCTAATTAATTGGCTTTTAGTCGCGGATGTGTTTGGTGCATTGTCAAGCTACCCATAGCTCCCCCCCTCCCCGTTTTTTTGGCAACTGTCTTTTAACCATTTCTTTGTAGAGTGTGGAGTATGCACAAGCCCAGGTACTGAGATAACTGCAGCTATTTTGGATACCCAACCTTTCTCTCTCTCACTCTCCCTCTTTCCTTTTTCCTGTTACAGGAAAAAATATGCCTGTCCTGTTAATATAATTCAACACCATTTTCTGTTTCATTATTTATTTTCTCATTTATAT